ATGACTTGACCCGATCGAACGCAGTCTGTCATTTTGACGTCCAATTCAAGGTTTGGCCCTTGCTCAGCAACTATTCAGCGGGGCATGCAGGTGATGTAGTTCGGGCAGAAAAGCGCTGTAATGACTGATTGGGCCACAGAATGAACGCAGCGATTGCAACTCCACAGATGGGGGCATCTTTTGAATAGCTAGGATATTTTCTGGATCAGGGCGACGACCGTTTTTTGAGAAAATAAAGCCGAGAAACTTGACGGTTGGTGTAAAAAAGGTACGCTTGTCTTCACGGATACGGAAACCATATGACTGGATACGTACAAGCACTTCAGCGAGCCGCTGAAACAGTTCTTCTGATGTCCGACCCATTATAAAGTGATATCATCCAGAAACTCCCGCAAGCATGGTGTCCATCAGCTGCTGGAAGATGGCTGGTGTTGCTTTCACGCCAAAAGGGAGGCGGTTGTACCGGTACAAGCCACGATGAGTGTTGATGGTCAGCAATTCTCTCGAGCTTTCATCAACCTCGACATAGAGGTAGACATCGGACAAGTCGAGCTTGGCGAAACACTTCCCACCATTCAACTTGGCAAAGATATCCTCTGGTATTGGAAGGGGGTATTGATGGTCGTCCAATGCGGCATTCAGGCCAGTGGAAAAATCGGCGCAGACCCGCACTTTAGCGTTCGGCTTTCTCACAGCAACAATCGGCGCAGCCCATGATATGGTGTGATGACACCTGCTCGTTCCAGTCGGTCGAGCTCCTGATCAACTGCTGCCATGGTTGCATGCGGTACCGGTATTTTTGCTCTGAATAGTGGCTTCGTTCCTTCACAAAGCCACAACTTTGCTTCGAACTTAGTGCAGTGGCCGAGACCATCTTCAAACAAGGTGGAAAACTTCTGCTTTAGCTTTCTTGTCATCGCTTCTATCGACAATGATGCATGGACTGGGTCGATTTGGACTCCATTGCAAATCTGACTCATTGGAACATCAAACAGTTGTAATTTTTCCATCCAGTCAAGTCCAAGGAGGCCCAAGTTTGGTCGGTCAGACAAGTAGCAGGTTCTGGCCTGTTTCACTCCGTTGAATACAATTTCGCAATTCATTTCTCCGACCAGCCTCAGTACTCCACCGGATGAGTTGTGGGCGACTTTGTTGGAATCAACAATCTTCGGCTTCTTTATGTGCTTCCAAGTGTTCTTGGAAATGATCGTTATATCTGATGCCGTATCGAACTGCAGCCGCTTTGGGATTCCGTTGATAAGCACAGTGATAAATCGACGGCGTGTTCCAAAATCGCTGTGAAACGTGGCAATCACCGATAGTGATTCGGCCTCTGGCTTCCTGAAGTTCTCCCTTCGGTAGGATGGCTTCACGTTTCTTGGCCGGGACTGATGGCAAACGTCTTCCTTGTAGCCGCGTTTATGGCACGTATGACAAATTTGACGCTTGAATGGACAGTATCGTGCGAAATGCCATTCACCACATGACCAACAAGGTGTAGGCAGCTTGTTCGGCGTTCTGGTGAACGGCTTGTTCGAGCCAGCCTTTCTTGCTTTTTGCACAGCATGAACAGTATCCGCAATGGTGGGGCAACTCTGCTCAATCATAGCCGTGTCGTGTTTCAAGGTAACCAGCCGTTTGCATTCGAATACAAGAGACTTCAATGTCAAATCTGGATATTGATCCAATCTAGCAAGGAGCCGAGTGCGGATTTCCGCGTCGCGTGGAGACTGTAGAGCACTGAAAATATAAGACAATTAGACTGGTCATCCGTCAAACAGCGTAACTTGAAACGTTCACATTCACGGTTAACCATGTCTGCTAGTGCCCCATAATCGTCTGTATCACGCTTAACAATTTTTAGACATTGACAGCGAATGCTAATCAAAGAGGTCGACTCACCAAAAATTTCTTTGAGTGCTGCCACTGCTTCGTTGGAAGTGATGTTCTTCGGCTCTTTGGGCAATATGTGGTCAAGGGATCTTGTATGTTCATTAGTTCCGAGCTTGCGGAGCAAAATGCGCACTTTCCATGAATCATCTTGACGGCTGAAATCCGTCCGGAACATATCCTCCCAACGCTTGAACCACGCCTCGAAAGTGGATTCGGAATCAGCATCATAATGAAATTCAGTGATTGAATTCGTAAGAAGATCAAGTGAAACAGCCTGCGTGTCCCGTGTAGCTGCTCCGTTTGATTGTACGTTTAAGCACTGTGTTAAACTTTCAATCAGTTTCATTTGTGCTTCCATCTGGGATTGTTGCTGAAGAAGCAGCTTTTGAAAATGTTCGGCAGAAAAATTTGTAACATTTTCGTGCTTGTCCGTCGCCAATGTTAGATCTTCACATTTTCTCGCTATTCCGAATTAAACACCCAAATATTTCTCCGCAAAATTCTAGCCCAGCCGAAGAAAAAGTAAAATTCCCAAGACCTTGACCAAGAAAAACGTGTTAACAAAAAAGCTGCCAACGTAGCTAAAACGCTGTACTCTCAACTCTGGGGCAAAGTACAATTGGTTGGGTGTTTAAAAGCTCGTTCGTCCGCTCGATCGATCGCCTGATTGACCGCACGGGGAAGGCGATTTCCTTCACCTCATTTTTCAGTCATCATTATATACTTTCATTTTTTTCTCTTTCGTAGTTCGTGTGTTGCAAGCTCCACAGCCTCTTCCTTTATGTGTTTGCCTTTTCCCGGATAACAGTGACGATATATAAAAAAGGCAGTCACACGGACTGTGCTAACCACAGGGGTATTAGCCTAACACCAGCTGTGAGAAAATTACTGGCCTCCATTCTCGTTCGTCGCCTCACTGCGAAGCGAGAATCTAGGATCCCGGAAGAGCAGACAGGCTTCAGTCCAGAACGGGAATGTATAGAGCATAAATTCCCTCTACGGACTTTTGTGGAGCCATCCTACACTCCTTCACAGGCAAACACAAGCACGGTATTTTTGGGAGATCAAGCGCACAGAGGGCGGTGGCTGGATGGTAGTCCGCTTAAAATATAATCCATGTGCATAGAACCACTCTTTGAGCTTAACACGGTCACGAAGACCGTGCACCCCGTCCCTTCCAGCAATGGCCAACTGTCTTCTAGAGCCAGTATAGACGAGTTGGCGGGTAACAGATACGTAGGCACCTTGTCAACATGCACATTAAGCGCAGCCACAACGGGAATGTCAAGCAACAGCCAATCACTTAAAAGGACGATATCAAATAAAATAGCGAATAAAGTATAAGGATATGCCGACATTACTCTCCGCTAAATAAGCATATGAAATGTATGCCTTATCAACATATCCGCGATAAATACAAGATGGCAGAAAAAGTAATCAAAAAACATATGCAACAAATGCGAAAAAAATAAAATAACCACCTTTCATTTAAGCAACTTGTTCAAGTTTATTCAGATATATATTGAAATGAGGTAACGAAGTAAGCATGAATAGATGGATGTAAACTGTTAAATCTCGAACCAATGTGGCTTCGTCAGTTACAGTACACCTTAGAAAATTGTTTGTCAGCAGATGTACACAAATTATGATCCGAAATTTCAAGACCAAGTGCCATATAGTCTGAGAAACAAAGATTATGTACAAAGTACCTGCTATTCCACGCTACTTCGAGAAAACCATTTCACGTTTAAATACCTACCGCTATGAGATAGACTGCCTACAACCACTGATTGAACTTTTCTAAGGGATCATGTCTCTTGTTATAGTGAACCACATAATTACTGTTATTATAGCTTGTTTCACTTTACTATTCCTTCACTGTTGACCATGACTTGACCTATTACCTGGTTAGTTAATCCGTGTACTCACTCAAGGAGAAATGCCACAAATTCACTGGCGGCAAAAGGTGTTATCCTCAGAAGATTAATGGGCAGCATTACGGAAGTGGCTATCCTAAATGCATATAAAGATGGCCAGAAAAATGAGTCAAAGCGGTCATGGATTGCGTGCTTTTAAGCCACACTGGCACAATACCAGACAGGCGTGAAAGTGTGGGTGGAACCTCTAGCGGGACTATCCTGCATGGAGGCAAGTCCCTATGAGACGGTTCCCCGGATGGCCGTATTACTTTGGTTAAACTGTTGACTGTTTCCTTTTCTCCTGAAAATCTGCTGCAGCCGTTGCTTCATTTTAATAGATTTACTCTCTTCTGTGGTTATAATGGTGTAACATGACGGTAAAATCGTGGTCATGAAGGAAGAGACAAGACTCGTGAGACTGAGTATACAACGTTATTATGTTATTAGTACTTTCGTGATGACAATAATATTAAGCAGATGACTCGCTAAACTCCGATCTAAATCCTCGTAAACATTCACTGGAGGCATGTTTCCTTCACATGCAATAGTTAGAGGTTGCGCTAGGAATATAAAACCCACCCACCGACATACGCGATGTATTCTAAATATCCCGTAGCGGCTGTAGCACCGGATTCAATCGCGCCCCCTCTTTGTCACCCTTATTTACATAGAGAAGCGAAAGGGTCGAGAAGTAAGCTTACAATGTAGAGCTTAGTAGTCTTTGACAAATAGGATACAAATTAAACGAAAGAAAAGCAACTGGTGGTTCAGTTCCATCTCTTCAGGCTTGTTACAATTGAGGCGATACAGTTCCGTTTTATTTAGCTGATCAAGTGTGATTCGAGCACCAGGGTGCAATGAACCCAGTTACCGAGACTCGGGTAGTCATGACAGCAAAAAGGAACAGGTGATAAAAGCTAAGAACAAAACAACAAGTACGATAGAGAAAAGAGCAGAAACGAGACTGTGATTGCCAGAGGTTGAAAGCAACAGCAATAAGCAACAGAATGAAATGAGGTGCATGAGAAACTAGCCTAGGTGTGGTTAGACGGACATACTTCGGGTGGAAATAGGCGATACACTGGTGTGCTAACGTCCCACATTGCCTGCGGTCAACCGTATTTCATGATCGCAATTCCTTGTTTACGTAACGGCTAATTAGACCACTATCGCTGAAATGTAACTCACTTCATAATGCGGATGCATGAAAACGGCCAGCCATAAGTAAGACTGGGGTAGGGATTTCAGGAGAGTACGTTGTTCTGCAGCTTTGGACCAAAGATGCACAAGGATATAGAAGGCATTCTCATAAGTAGAGTAATCTGACGCTGACTCCGAATATATCCGTACAAGAAGTTGCGTTGTGGACTTTAGGGTAGTGACGAGATGATGGGTGAGAGAATCATGATCACCAGAAAGTTGCATCATTGCACGCTTGAATGACTGAAGACACGATATAACTTGCGAGACATTTCCGTTGTTTAATAGCTCGCGCAAAGTTTCTGGGGTTAGCTTCTTGATGTCTTCCAAGTTGGAAGAAGGGAAGCAGCTGTTAAGGCGGTTTGGAGTTGCGCGAAAGGATGACAGAGAAGCAGGTGGCTCGGAAGCCTCCAGAAGACAAACCGAAGGGTGGATTCGCAGAGAGGAATATGAAGTCGCAAGTAGTGTATGATTTCCAGATACAGCACAGGAGAAGAGCAAGTCAAACAAACTATACGGCTTAGGTGGCACAGGAAATGCACTTCTTTTTCTCTGCAAACACAGAGCGAATTTCATCACCGGTGGTACACTCGGATGGTCCAAAGCGCAACGATTAAATTGAAGGATGTTGCGACGAGAAGCAAAGGCATCGGAATAGCAATGGTTAGCGCAAAGCCATTCACCGCAAGCCTGAAAACTGAAGACCAGAATGCAAAGGGCCCAAGCGTACAGACTCGGTAGGTTGGTGCGCTGCGCGAGGACATGGTCGGACAAGTTTGGTAGCAATGTTGCGTTCAAGCGAGTAATTGTTTCTAAAACATCTTGGCTCTCCAGATCCAAACGGTCAGCATTTCGCAAAGCGCTTAATTCTATGATGCAAAGACATATTGTGAATAAAGAAAAAGAAGTACTAGAGGTGGGTAAGCTAACAGCTAGACCGTCCAACAAATGGGACTTCATATTCTTGCGCATATGCAAAGGTATAAGAGAAAAGGATTCAGACAAGTGGTGTAACAGTGCGACGTATTGTTTGGAAGAGGCCTTAGCGGGAATCACATCGTGCAGATGTTTACGAAGATTTGACAAAACGGATGAGACGTCTCGGCGTTTGTTCGCTGGCAGTGCGACAAGAAAGCGTTGCATATATTCTGATGGTTTAGGACCGGAATATTTCCGTATATCTTCCATTTAATTGAACTAAAAAGTCGAAAAATTCGTCAGTAAAAAGCAGAGATTGTTATCATAATCTATAGCGATTTGTGGTGGCGTTTCATCACCACAAGTGACAAAGTAAAAAATCGCCTTGGTGAAGAGGACCAAGAAGATACAAATAGGGAGATATACAGCGTCGATGTGAAAACTCGCAGTTAATGCTTTACGATCACAAACAACAGACTATCATACAAAGGTAGCATCGACGATAGGGCTTAAAAGAAACGTTCGTTGCTTAGTACCAAAAATGAACTAACTCCAAAGAGAGCACAGCATTAGTGTGTTAAACAGGAAATCCGACTAGCTGGCACCCCTGATAGCACCACCGGACGGTCAACCGTCCGATTTCCGCCCACTTTCGGGTTGAAAATGGGAAACAAAAAACACTTGATATCTTTAACAGCTGTAGCGAATGCAACCTAAATGAAGAGAAATAGGCAGCAACGTATAACAAAAGGGTTTACGAGTAGATGGGGCTACGCGTATGAGTAATGCTACGAGTGTCCGAGCGTCCGATTACCGTCCGAGATTTGAGTGAAATCAGTGTATGGAATAAGGAGTTTAGGGTCGGTGAAAGTAGGGTTACGCAGATGAAAATACCGTGTCCAGCAATGTTCATCACATTGTCTCACTATTATCCCGTTCGGGTAGCTCCTGTGTAACACACGTATCCTGCCACAAAAATGCTGTTTTGGGGCACTGCAAAACGGTTCCGTATGCTTCATCAACATCAAATACTGCATGAACAATCGCTTAAAGCAGCAATCAATAGCACGTGGGATTGGGGGTCGATGGGAATCTGCGTTGGTAAGTGCTGACAATTTTTGTTTTAACTGTCCGATTTTCGTCCCAAATTTGTCCACTGGTTTTTTTGGACAGAAATCGGACAGTCACCATGACGGTATCATCACAAGCATTACAAGATAGGAAAACCTGAGAAATATTGTGTTGCAGAAAAAAGGGAAAAGACGTGAAAAAAGCAAAGTACTAAAGATAACAGAATACAAAATTGTTATAGATTGCGTAGATTGCCTTAGTCGTCGCCGCTGTTATAATTGAGGGAACGCCGCCTCTTGAGATAATTGCGTAAGTGCCTGATAAGAGGGTCGCTGGCACGCCTACGATAATTGCTTGCTACGCTGACCACTCGAACGGAATTGCGCTGTCCTGATGACGCTGGCTTAGCCGGTGAGGCGGATAATTGAGCGAGCTTGCTAACGATCCTAGCCGCACGTGTTCGGATAGACGCCGAGCCTCGGACGGACGCAGACGAGAGGGGGGTTTACGATAGACGCGCTCTAATGGCTTAGACGCGAAGGCTGGCCAGCTAACGATGCACACGCAATCACGCGATCCGACCGACTCCCAACTGAGGCGAAGAGAAAGAAAATACAAGTGGTCCTCTGTAGGCTCTTTTACGACCGACAAAGGGCAATCACAGGCAGTGCTATGGGTTATTAAGTTAAGGAAAACTGTCACCACGAAGAGGTGGTAGTTTGTAAATGGCCATTGTCAGAAGGTGCGCAGTTTGGGCCGCGTCTCGGAGTGGCTGAGCTCTGCTGCGTTGTGGGGAGGAATTGGCCCTCGCTTTCCACAGCCATTCTGCTGGGGTTTCTGGCGCGTTTTTGCGGGAATATTTGACGTTCCCGCAACACCTCCCTTTGAAGAGAAAGCGTACCGCTTCTGGCAAGGATTGACCTGGAGGGATTTCGGTGACCTCCGGATTCTTTCTGTTCGTCGGCAAGGTGGGTTTTCGAGACGCGGCGTCGATAGAGCGGCTTCGACCGTGGTCTCCCGTTGTGGAGCCATTCCAAAGGTTTCCAGCAGGATGTGCAGCGGCAGGTGCACGGGATGGCTGGCTGGCGTGGAGGTTTCTCCGTGGCGCGGACGAAGTTGATTGCAATGGCGAACCCAGGTGTCATCACCCACGGAGACATCATGCAGCATGTCACCTCGCCTGGCCGTCACTGTTGCTTTGATCCAGCGAGGATGACCTGCTCGGTAATCGCGAGCGTAGACTGGGGCTCCAACGACGAATTCTTTATGCTTGATGTAGGCACCAGAGTGACTAGGTGACTTCTCAGTTGGGATGGGCGCTTCGTTGATTGTGCGTAGCTTGCGGCCCATCAATGCTTCAGATGGTGACTGGCCTCCTGGCGTAGCTGGATTCGGTGTGGACCAGTACGTGAGCATGAAGGCTTGAAGACACTCATCCACGGTCCCCTCCCTGCGAGATTTCAAAAGCGCCCTCTTGAATGTGTCGACAAATCGCTCCGCTTGACCATTGGATTGGGGATGGTAAGGCGGTGAGCGGAGGTGTTCGATGCAGTGTCGGCGACAAAACTCTTCGAAGATGGAAGAGGTAAACTGGGTACCATTGTCGGACACCAAAACCTCGGGGAGGCCATGTTGACTGAAGATTCGTTGGAGACAAGCCAGAGTGGCGGATGCGGTTGGTGGGTTGACGGCGACCACTTCCGGCCATTTGGAATAGGCGTCGACCACGAACAGATAGGAAATGCCATCGATGGGGCCAACGTAATTGATGTGCACTCGAGACCACGGTTTTGCTGGCGGATGCCAAGGAATAGGTGATTGGTGTGGTGGCATCTTTGAGGCTTGTTGACAATCCTGGGACACGGGGTCGGATTGACTGGCTTTGTCGTCGGTTCGGTTGTTTGGTACTGTCGGAGAATGTACCACGTTGCAGATGGCCCGAAGAGGAAGATCGACCAAGCCAAGGGTTTCGATCCAGTCGAGACCAAGTACGTTGAGCTTCGCCTTCGTGATGTAGCTCATCGCGTTGAACGTGGCGCCCCGGAAGGAGACGGAGCAGTGCAGCTGCCCAGTTAGCTGCACGCGACCACCACAGGCGCTGGTGGCAGATTGGTAGGTCGGTTCGAAAGGTGGCTTGCCAAGGGATCGCCACAGATCCACGGAGATGATCGTGATGTCCGACGCAGTGTCCAACTGCAATCGGACCGACTGACCGTTGATCAGGACGTCGACGAACTTTCTCCGATCCGCAGCGTTGATTTGGAACGTGGCCAGCAGGCTCAGAGAGCTGCCAACCGGACCAGGTTTGGGTGTGCGTCTGGGTCGGGACCTCTTCTTTGCATCGCGGGTGGGGGCCAGCCCAGTTTTGGCCCCCTTGGGAGATGGCGGATGGCAGTAACCATCCCGGTGCCCCACCCTGCCACAACGTTGACAACGATGCTGGCGGAAAGTGCAGTCGCGGTGGAAATGCCAGGCACCACAGAATCGGCATGCGTAGGGTGGGGACTTCGCTCGGTCGGACTGGGTGGGGCGCGCGGACGATTGCGCCCTAGGTGCTGTGACTGCCTGGACCATACCAGGTGCGGCGGCGTTCTGGATCATGGCAGAACCGTGCTTCAGGTTGAGCAGCGTTTGACACTCCTCGGCCAGGTTCTGGAGTGTGACTGATCCATCCTGTTGTAGCTTGGACAGGAGGTGCGTCCGGATATCGGCATCGTGTGGAGATTGGAGGCCAGAGACAAAGATCAGGCATTTGAATTGGCCCTCGGTGAGTGAGCCAAGTTGAAAACGCTGGTTATCGTAGAAGAGATTTGATCAATACGAAGTGCATCGAAATACCTTTGACCCTCATCTCCATGAAACTGTCTCAAGAGCTTCACTTTGTTTTTCTCAGTAAGAGATACTGCTGGATTCAAGATTGGAAGCAATTCCAAGTAATCCGCCATCTATGCCACGAGTCCAGGGGAGGTTTGTCGGTAGAGCACGACCAGAAGACCGGTGGAGTATTTGACAAGGACATGTTGACCTCCGTCGCCAGATATCACAAATGGACTCTAACAGCAAGTACGTATTTCAACTCGTAGCGAAAAAGCAAGAAGACGTGTCAGTCTGGCGCACAGTGTACTTAACACTTAACGGTTTACATGTGAGCACGGAACGTTAGGGTGTGTCCTTGAGTGCGTGTGTGCGTGCTTATCTACGTGTGTGTGTAGGGCAATCAGGTTCACGGTCATAGTGAGCGATGATTGGTTGAAGACGTAACAAGCAGAAAGGAAAACTCTGGATGATTTATGCGCCAAATCCCATAGAGCTGCGACTTTTGGGCACCAAAAGCCTATAGGGAGATTTTCAGCGCCCCGCGTATGATGAAATGGAGTGGTAAGATAAGAGTTTCCTTTGCGATGAAGAAAATTTGCCGACTCCGATAGCGATTTTGTTTCAAAAGAACGAAGATGGGAAAGATTGTTACGTGGCGTATAATGTAGACGCGGGGACAAAGCGAATAGTGGCAATGCACAGACTGCACCTCAAATTACCACACCTCGCAGTCTAATCGGAGAGCCTAAGACTATACAACATATCAACTATTGTTTCGCCAACGGTTCACTCGACATACAACTCATGAGGACGGAGATAATTGGGAAGCCAGATAGATCTGACATCGTGAATAACGAACTGCGAATTAGGTCGGAAGATGGCGATGATAGGCGTTTGGAATCCAGATATGCAGCCAATATAGAATGAAAAGGTAGGATATACGTGCGATAGCAGGAGCTAATGACTTCACGGCAAATTGGAATTAGGTGCGTCAAACGACAAACAATAACAGCAGCAGCAGCAGCAGCAGCAGCAGCAGCAACAACAACAACAGTACATCAGTTAACTGAACTGATGCTTCGCTACCATACAACCAGGATGATCTACGGAATAAAGAATAATAATAATAATAATAATAAGAGAGAGAAGGGGGACTTAGCGTAAAACCTTAATGCCCTGAGCAAACATTCAGTGTCAAGGCGTCTACACGTTGCGTCAACAACAAATCGTCACAAACAGCCGGTTACAGTGCAAAGGCGGCATCAGCGAGAGAGCTTCCTTAGGGCTTTCACTGCCACGCGTCATAACCAGCCACTACCCCGCAGATAATTCAGCAACAAACACACTCTAAACAGGCAGTCCAAGTAGGAGACGACAGCAGATGCGCCACTGGTGTTGGCTGCAATCCATGTCCTGTTTAGTTGTCCTCCTGCTTCTGGACCTCTTCCTACTTAAGTGTTGGCAAGCTGAGCTATGACCAATTAGTTTACAGACTCCATCGAAGGCTGAGGTCAGAAACGCGATCACAGCCCTCAATCGTTTTCGTTCTGTTGGCCCGGATTCGCTCGCACAAGCACTATATAAGGATGGTGGTGAGGTTCATTGCAAAGCA